GACCCTGGGAGCTGTGGTTGGTTGGTATTGTTGCTCTCCTCATGGTGCCACAAACCCTTTCAGCTCTTTCAGTCCTCACTCTAACTCCTCCATGGAGAACCTCATGATCAATTCAATGGCTAGTTGTGAGCATCTGACTCTGAATATGTCAGACTCTTGAAGACCTCTGAGGAGACATCCATATCAGGCTCTTATCGGCATGCACTTCCTGACTTCCAGATCAGCATCTACCTTTGGTGACTGCACATGGGATGGATACTCAGGTGGAGTGGTCTTGAAATGGCCCCTCCTTCAGTTTCTGTCCCTCACTTTGTCTCCATATTTGCTCCCTTGAGTATTTTGTTGCTCCTTCTAAGAAGAACTGAATCACCCCCACTTGGTCTTCCTTCTTTATGAGCTTCATGTGGCCTGTGAGTTGCATCTTGGGCATTTCAAGGTTCTGGGCTAATATCCGATAATCAGTGAGTGAATACCATGTGTGTTCTTTTGTGATTGGCTTACTTCACTCAGGATGATGATTTCTAGTTCCATCCATTTACCTAGGAACCTCTCGAATTCATTGTTTTTAATAGCTGAGTAATACTCCATTGTGTAAATATACCACATTTTTTGAATCCATTCCTCAGTTGAAGGACATCTGGGCTCTTTCCAGCTCCTGGCTATTATAATAAGGCTGCTATGAACATAGTTGAGCATATGTCCTTGTTATATGTTCGAGCATCTTCTGGGTATATGCCTTCTCTAGTCATTTTTAAATGACATTTTCAGATGAAGTCTATGATGTCATTAATCTTTGAACAAAATTAAGTTTTTCCTTTGTTTTGTTTTCAGTTACATGTGGTCATTTGAAAAAGCTCATCTCAGCATGGTTCAGATAATCACAGGACAACTTGTAGAATCTTTTGATGAAGAATTTCGAACACTCTATGCCAGGTCCTCTGTCCCAAGTTCTTTTGCTCAGGAAGAATCAGCGAGGGTGAAGCCAGGCAAAGCCTTATGGGAGAATGGCATTTACCAGCGATCTATTTCTTCATTAGCTTCCATTTCCAGCCAGAGAAACCTTTTTGGCAGACAAGACCAAATTCATAAAATAGATTCTAGTTACTTTAAAGGCAGAGGGATATATCCACTAAATGAACAGGACAAACACAGCATGAGAAATCATGGCTACAAGCCTCATTTTGTTCCGAACTTCAATGGTCCGAGTGCAATCCGTCACTTCCAACCCAGTCAGATCAATGAAAACTGGAAGAGGCATAGTTATGCCGGGGAACAACCGGAAACAACACCATACCTGCTGCTCAACAGAGCTATGAATAGGACCAATAATGCTACTGGACGCTGGAGAAGGCCTTCGGACAGTCTCAGTGTAGCATCCTCATTACGGGGAGGACAAGGAAGCCAGCAAAATATACCTGCTCAGAGTTTTGCTGATCGGCTTGCCCAGAGAAAAACAACAAATCTTGCAGAGAGGAATTCAAATGTACGCAGGTCATTTAACGGGACAGATAATCATATCCGCTTTATACAACAACGGATGCCAACTCTGGAGAATACCACAAAGTCTTTCCTGCGGAGCTGGAGAATTGAATCGTACTTAAACGATAATTCAGAAACCCCACCTGATTCAAATGGCTCCACCCTGGGTGACAGATTTGAAGGCTACGAAAGTCCTGAGACAGTGAAAGCCAATGCACTCTATACTCATTCGAGACTCCGCTCCTCGTTTGTGTTTAAACCAACTTTACCGGAACAAAAAGAAGTCAATAGCTGTACAACTGGCTCCTCAAATTCCACCATCATCGGTTCTCAAGGAAGCGATACACCTAAGGAGGTCCCAGATAGTTCCACAAATGCACCGCTCTTGACAGAAAAACCTTTGCCTGAATCAATCTCCAAGCTCCCAATACAGTCAGAGGAACCAAAAATGCACAGCTTACAGGTTCCTGAAAAGCAACCAGAAGTCTTAAACCAAAGAACAAATGGCCTAGCAGAATTAAACAACTGTATCTATACAAATCTGTGTGTCAATAAGCAGACGGAGAACTCAAAAAATCAGCAAAATGACAATCTACTCAAAAGGCGGAGTTTCCCATCCTTTGACCACTCAAAAGTCAATTTAGAGCATGGAAATAGCAAGAATTATGTTTATAGTACCCTTACCAGAAATCGAATTCGACAACCAGAAAAACCCAAGGAGGATGTGCTGAAGAGTTCTAAAAGCATGCACAATGTGACCCACAGCATAGAGGAGGACGAGGACGAGGTTATCAAAAGAGACCCTCCAAGTGCCTCTGCCACCAAATCTATTTCCATTGCTGCTTTGCTTGATGTGAATAAGGAAGAGCCCAACAAAGAAGTTAATTCTAAAAAGGATGGCAAAGCCTCCCCAAGTTTTTTGAAAAAGGGGTCTCAGAAATTAAGGTCCTTACTTAGTCTCACCCCAGAAAAGAGAGAAAACCTGGCTAAAAACAAGGCGTCCGCGTTTTACAGAATGTGTAGTAGCTCTGACACTTTGGTTTCTGAGGGTGAAGAGAATCAAAAGCCAAAAAAATCCGAGCCCAAAGTTGATTCATCTCCCAGAAGAAAGCGTTCCTCCTCGTCAAATTCTCAAGGCAGCATCCACAAGAGCAAGGAGGACATAGCGGTTAGCATATCTCCAGGGCTAAGTTCCCAAGCAGAGGAAAATAGAAGAATAGCTCCTTCTCCAAGGCCCATTGAGAGGAGACTTTCAGAGAGAGCTGGAGATGCCTCTGCCCCAAGATTTAATACTGAACAGATCCAGTACCGTGATTCCAAAGAGGTCAGTGCAGTCATGACCCCTGCCAGACGGCCAACCTCTTCTCCAGTGCTAAAGCCCAGTGAGCTCCTGAGATCTCATTCAACCAACCAGCGAGTTTACAGTCGATTCGAGCCATTTTGTAAGATTGAGAGCTCTATTCAGCCAGCGAACAGCGTTACAAATACACATGTCAACCGCCCAGAAGTCAAGTCCACAACCATGGGCAGCGGTTATGGCAGGTCCAGCCCGATGCTGAATTATAAGACTGGCGCTTATCATTCATACGCCCCCAATGAAAACAAGTTTCGAGGATTTATGCAAAAGTTTGGAAACTTCATACACAAAAACAAATGAAATACTTCCATTTCAAATTGAAATTGAAATATATAATGAATGTCCTGTAAATATTTGCCCAAAGAACACTCTGCACTTTTTTTTTTGTATCATGCCAAGAGTGTTCTGTATGAGAATTGGGGAAATGTATAGCAGTATACAGAAAAGTTATTGTTTTGTGTTGAAATTAGTTGCATTTGGTTACCCCCAAAAGGACTAGCCCAGTAAACACATTAAAATTTATTTTAAATGGCAATAGATGGGATTCATTGTTTCCTATCTACTAAAAATCTTGTGTTTGATTGGAAGAAACCTCAGTGGAGAGACTCCATTGGGATTTTATCATTCATTCCGAAGTCTTCAATTAAAAGCAGTTCATATTACTTAACACTGGTGCTTTTTATATACCGTTATGATTTTTTTTTCATATTTTCAGAGACATGAAAAAAACAGAGCAAAGCCTTTTTGTTGATGAATTCTATAGGATAACTTAATATGTCTTGTCTTATTATCCTTCCTATGTAGCAGTCAACAAAGAGCTAGTTTAAATTCTGTAGGCTAGCATGCTTGAGCCGGCAGTGTGCTTGTACTTACCTACATCAGCATTAAGCATCAGCTTTGTAACTCACAAACACACACACAGGCTTTATTTTCTAACCTGTAGGTACTGTGTCGTGTTCTGCTTTACACTGTCCATCTTTTGTAGTCATTCCTTAATTAAAATTTAAAGTGAGTGAAGAGCCTATGGGAGCCCCGCCCTCCTGCTTCCAGCTATGAAACCTTCTAAAGCTGTAAAATTCTGCACACACTTGTGTTAGATTGACACACCAATGTGGAAATATTTTGTTTGAAAACTTTTTACTTTTGTAAACTTTGGGTTGGATGTGGCATGGTGACGCACTGTCTCATAAGGGTTAGATAGTGGCAGTGAGAACTTAGCCTAGTCCCTCACTGTCAAACAGCCAGCCTGGATGAAAGCATCTCCATACTTTAGTTTGATGGCTATGTTCAAGTTATAAAATACCATTTACCATTTATAAAGGAACAAAAATGCTTCCTGTTCATTGCAGAAGCATAAATTTGTATTATGCATACCATGTAGAATTCAGGAAGCAAAAGACAATGTGAGAGGCATGGTGTGCTTTAAAAATGTTCCAAGTATCTTATTTAATATTTTTAAGATTGCTATGCAGAATACTATATTGTTAGTTTTAACAAGCAATATTCAGTTGGTGCTATGAAACGTCACTGTCTGTGTTATTGAAATCATTTACCTTAGAAAAATCCTGATAGGAGAGGCTATGTAATGGAACACCTAGCATTTCCTGAGTACTTGACTATAGCCAGGTCATTCCCTACAAACTTATGTTCCATCAACTAATAAGCAATGGCTCTAAAGTATAAAGTTCTGCATGACATCAGCACTCTGTCCTGATTGGCTCGATGCCTGCTCTATTAAAAATGAAGAAAGCATCTACTTCCTAACTGGGAGTCAACCAGGAAAAGTTTAATTGAATGTCACCAGATAGCAAGGGCACACTGGGATCAAGTGATTGTGATAGATAAAATTAGAATACTAAGGTGAGATTGAGTTCTGACGTGCTTTGTTGCCATTGGGATCTGGCCTGTGACAATGAAAGCAAGAGAGAGGCAACCTAGAATGAGTTGTATCATTAGGGCTGTGAGGAAGGAAAGACCCTGGAGGGAAAGCTAGGTGGGGAAAGGAGCCCGATGATCTTAAGAAGGACATCTACTTAAATAAAACTATGCTGCACAGAAGTTATGTGCTTTTCAAGACATGCATGGCACTCCATGCTGTAGGCTGTTTCAGTTCAAGCCCGTGTTGTGGTACTGCATCTATGCCTGGCTGGCTGCTACTATGATTTGCTTTGTGAACCTATTTTTGAAGTGTTAAATCCCCTCACTCTTTTGCTCATCCTCCCCCTATAACCTTCAGAAATATGGCAGTACCTATATAGAAAGAATGTCTCATGAATAAGAATCCAGATATTAAGTTTTACATCATTACAAAAGTGGCTTTATAACCTCCCATCACAACTAGGAAAATGCTCACCTCTGTGACTCTGGTCTGAGCCTCTTGGAAACAGAAGTGTGATGAACTTGAATCCATCCACATTAGTAATAGTATGAAAAAAATTGATTATGGGAAAGGAGCCAATTCATAGAAACATTGACTTTAAGACAAGCTTTTAACATACATGTTTCCTCATACTCAGACCAGAGGTTCATATGCAAAAGCTTAGTACCACCTAATACAATAACTCCCATAATTGCTGAAATATGGTTAGCTTGGAGAAACATCCTTTGAAATTGTCACCAGGCTCTTCTTTGGGAAGCAGGGAGTGAAGGGTGCTTCATTTCATCTGCCTGTTGGGTAATTTAGGCTTTTTTCACAAGAGATTTATGCTCAGCCTCTTTTCTTTGATTATCTCCCTACTCTAATGTCTTCCTCTGGAAGCACCTTTATGTCTGAATGTGTACATAGTTTTCCAAAATGTCTTCATTGAGAAATTCTCCTCGATTAAGACTGAGAAAACACAATACTTCAAAAAAAAAAAAAGTAACCACTGTTACAGTATTAAGTAGATACTGCCCAGGTTTGGTGGATGTAATTTCAAACAATATATTTTTTTCTCTTTTACTTCCCATGTTGATATTGGTGGAAAGATGTTACATAGATGTATTTTGATATTAAACTTTAGCAATGTACATTTCCCTCTACGTGGAGCTATCATTCATAAGCAGAAACACAAGGAAACAGTATGATTTCTAAGTGGTTCTTGGCAGGTGACATTGGAATAGCACAAAAGATAGTTATCGTAATAGATTTACCTCCTTTCACTCATGGCTTGTAGGCCTGGCCATGGTGTCAGTCTTCTCTCTGTGAGGACTGACAGGGGCTGAATGTTGGGAGCCTTCAGTTTCTCTTTACACAAGAACTATCTTTGTGCCTCTATTATTCCACCAGCATTTTTGCTTTATGAATATCTGTTGTCTCTTAATGTACCTTTCACTAAGGGGTTTAAAGTAGAATCGTTGCTTTATAACTAAGCTCATGATTAATGTGGGATTATGTTTGAAAATTACAATTTAAGTTGGGTTCTGATATATTTAAAACAATTGTGGTAAAATTTATAAACAAATCAACTTCTCAACTTTTTATATACATGCAATACTACAAAGAAATATTCTTCCAAATTAACTTTTTTGGTTAATAAATGAATATTAATTTTGTACAAAACTGTATTGCTGAGTGTTTTTTTTTTAGCACTATACATTAGATTTCCTCACTCAAGTGTACTCTTCTCTTTAGTAATTATAATCAGGGATTTAGATGGTAATTTATTAAAAATATTTCTCAGAGTCCAAGGAGATGGATCAGTGGATAAAGCACTTGCTGCACAATGTGAGGGTCAGAGTTTAGATACCCAATACCCACATAAAAGCAGGAAGGGTGCAGTGTGATGTGTGTAATCCTAATATAGGAGGAAAAGAATCTGGGGAAGGCTCCACCAGCAAGCTAAACAGCTAGGCGTGATCACCTGAGGAGCTCGAGACTGGACCAAAGGGTCTGCCTCAGTAAGTAAAGCAGAGACTCATCTATGGATGCACAGTGTCAACTTCTGGCCTCCATGTGGACATGCATACATCCTCTTGTGTGCATACACATGTGTACAAATGTGAACTCACACATACACATGGAAAATAGTTAAATAGAACTTCTATAATGCCTTTGACAAAGACATTCTCATGGAACCCTGTATCTGTCTTGGATCCTCAGTCATGGTACTGTTCACTTTACACATTCATTTGGTCAACACTGGGTCATCTGTGTATGTGCCATTGAACATGCAGCCAAGAATCCTATTTTCTAGTATTTACAACACACATTTTATATATGTAGAGATGTTTCTATACACCAAAGTGACCATGCACACTTACAGCTCTCAGTACTCCAAGATTCGGTAAAGATGTGAAGCCTGGTCACTATAGGCTAGTCCATGAGTCTATGTTCACTAAGCTATTCTCATAGTAATGAAATACCCTAAACGCATTTTGAGAGTGGGTCTCCATGGCTACAAGATGCATGATTCATCCTCTTTATTTTCATTTCTACTATGAGTTACTTTAAGTGATTTTTTTTTCTGTAGATTCAGAAATTTTCGTAAAAGAAATTTTTGTAACTTACTTTTACAGAAGTTCTTAACATCTGGTTTTGGATAAATGTTCTACAGATATAGCTATATTATAGCATTGAAAAACCTAATCTGAAAATTACTTAAAACTCAGAGCGCATAGGTGAAAAAAACTGACATATCAGATTACAAGGTAGTTGAAATCTATGGATTAAGTCAAAAGTTGTGTCCTGTCAAAGGTAAACAATATTTTAAGTTCCTAAAGTATAATGATAAAGAGACATTCCTAATAGATGCTACGGTTAAAGGAACACCCACATACTCAGCAGCACAAACATATTGGCTTTCACTTGGAATCCAACCTCAAGGATATTTCAAACAGGTTGGATTGCTTTGAAGAGTCTAACCAAGTCTACATCTGGAAGCAGCTGTATATCATAGGTTTTGTGGTATTTACTTTTCCCTTTCAGTAGCCTACAGAGTACTTTTCCATAACACACAAGAACCTAAGGGTATAGGTTCTGTGTTGGCACCAGTCGGGGCTCCCCATGTTCAATTGTCCAATGAGTTCTTTGGGTGTTGTCTTCAGCAATAGGCTGTGCCTTGCTGTCAGCTTTTGGAAAGCAACCTATTGTCTTGTCAACAGAGTGGGTTATTGGGGGATTTCCATGAGGCTCCTTTGGCAAATACCTCAATTGGATGCAACCCAGTACTAACTAATACTGGGAACTTCTTTGGTGACAGGAGATGGGACTCCATCTCCTTCATTATTTGGAGACTTCATTAGGATTGTCTTAATACTTTGTAGGAAGCTTCCATTGTACTAGTTTTCCATATCCCACCCCTCAAATGAGCCTCAATTCTAGCTGTATCCTTGCACTTTCCCAATCACATCTCCCCTCCCCCTCCCCACCTGATTCTCCCTTTTTCATCCCTTTTACCCCAAGACCACTCAAAATATATTCTATTTCCTCCTCCCAAAGAGATCCATGATTCACCCCCACTCTCAGTCCCTTCCTATATACCTGATCTCTTTGGGTCTACAGATTGTATCTTGGTTATCGTTTATTTATTCTGCTGTACTCAGATTAGTGCCTTATTAAGCCAC